ACATACGCCGCCATCGCCCAAAGCGAACCATCCGGAAAAGACACATGGTTCTTGGACAGTTGCTGCGGACAGCACATGTGCTCCTCGGGACGCTTCGTTCAACGAGAACACCAAATTCAACGCGAAGTTGTCATTACAGTCGCCAACAATCAGAACCTGCGAACACGACGACAAGGCGTAGTTCAACTCCAGTCAAGGGAAACAAACGTTATACTGCAGATGTCAAAAGTACTAATCGCAGAGGGACTCGGCTACAACTTACTGAGCGTCAGTCAGCTAATGGCGAAAGGGATTCACCTCGAAGCAGACAGCACCACCCAAGAATTCAAGCTGTATCATGGGAGAAGAGGACTTTACATCGGCAAGGCGGTCCTCAAGAACAACGTCTTCGTTCTTGATTTCGTTCCTAATCTTGGCACCGCCGACAGCGACGCCATCGTTAACTTCACCAACTGGACACACCCTCCAGACCTTGATCCAGACTTCAGTCCAGAAGGCTTCTGGTACTCACACACCATCCCTGAAGCAGAAAGAACAAGGGCGTTAGCAACAATTCAGACAACATCAACAGCAGCAGAGACAACATCGGCAGCAGCAGAGACAACATCGGCAGCAGCAGAGACAACATCGGCAGCAGCAGAGACAACATCGGCAGTAGCAGAACCATTAACGGCAACAGCAGGAACGTCAACACCAATTGCTGGTCCTTCAACGACACCGCTCCTCATCGACGACACACCACCGACACCCGCGCAACAACTACACCCAGCACCACAAGAAGTTCATCGTAGCGCCAACTTCACCGCCAACTTCTACTCCAACTCCGATATGTACCGACGATCACCCGGACATCGCGCCGACGAAAGCACCTGGCACGCAAGGATGGGACACCCAAGCAACACAGTACTAAACAATACGATAAGAGCAGGAGTACTCGACAAGGACTCACTCCTACTGACCGACGGACGAGAACTTCAACGAGTACGCGGAACGTGCTTCACCTGCCCTGAAGGTGACTTACCACATCGACCGTTTGCGTCTCATCACAACCCGAGCGCACCCGCGTACGCACCACTCGAGAAGGTGTATAGCGACATCCTGTACAATCAGGAACCAGGACAAGTAATATACAACTATACAATCACCTTCATCGACGCCGCCACCCGTTATGTCTGGCACCTAAACCTCCCTAGCCGCGACATGGCATTCGCAGCCTTCGTTGCCTGGCTACCAGTAGCAGAGAGAGAATCGGGCGTGAAACTGAAAAGCTTCCAGTCAGACGGAGGAGGAGAATACACCTCTCAGCGATTCAAGCAGTACCTGGCGGAAAGGGGAATCAAGCGGCTCATCTCCCTTCCCTACGCCCATCAGCAGCAAGGTGTAGCAGAAAGAATGAACAGGACCTTGCAGAACAGCATGCGCAAACTGTTACGTGGCATGCGGCTACCCAACCACCAGTGGCCTGCGGCAATGGACCACGCCGTCATGCTGCACAACTTGCTCTCGTCATCATCGCTTCCAAACAACGCATCACCGCATCTGCTATGGACAGGAAAACAGGGCAGCACAAAAAATGTTACGAATATTCGGATGCATGGTACAGTACCGACCCCCAGCAGCACGAGCGGGCCGATTTTCTCAACGAGCACAGTGGGGACTACACCTGGGAATCGAAAAGAACTACAACGCGTGGAAAATCTTCGACGTCCATTCCAAGGAAATAGTAGCAGCACGTGATGTAATTTTCTACGAACGACTCACGCTCCAGACATACCTTGCCAACCTGCAAGAAGACCAGGATCCCACAGGTGGTTTTCGCGGTGACCGAGCCTTCGCCTCAGCAACGGACGAAGCTGACTGGGACGAGCAGAATGTGGACAACGCATCAGAAGAAGCCGGACCTCTTCCGTTCTGCTCCGTGGACGTTCCCATGGACGAAGATAACCCTCGCGAAAGTGTCAACGCCGAAACCTTCTACTATTTCGCCGACAAGGGTTACGTAACACCTGCAACAGTCAACACCAACGAAGCAGAACGAGTAGGACCCAACTTCATACCTGATCCAGAAGCGGGAGATGAAGCAGCTTATCCCGAGGACGCAAATCTTCCCCGCTACTCACAGAGTGGACTGCAAATTCTCGGACTCGTCACCGCAGTCCACGGCACCGCCATTCCTAAAGAGCCTGCGACGGTTCAACAGGCTCTGGGGGGGGAGCATAAGGAAAAATGGCGCGAAGCCATGGACAAGGAGCTGAAGGCACTGGAGGAACGCAACACGTGGAAAGTGGTTCCTATCGGCGTGGCACGGAACAAGACAGTGCTCACCGGGAAGTGGGTCTTCCGTGTGAAGACAAAGGCTGACGGCACCATTGACAAATTTAAGGCTCGCTGGGTTGTACGCGGCTTCGACCAAGAACACGGACGCGACTTCACCGAAACTTTCGCTCCGGTTAGCCGCCACACCTCACTACGCATTCTCCTCGCAATCGCCGCCATGAAGAAGAAGAAGCTGCGACAAATTGACGTCGCGAACGCGTTTCTCTACGCACCTGTTGATGCAGAAATTTTCGTCGAGCTACCGCACGGCTCCCACAGAGAACCCAACCAAGTCTGCCAGCTACTCAAGTCACTCTACGGCATCAAGCAGGCCCCGCGACTGTGGCAACAGTACCTGCACACTCGCCTCATCCGCATCGGCTTCAAGCAACTACCGCACGATCAAGGCATGTACCGGCTCACAAAAAACGACGACTACATCCTACTAATCATCTACGTGGACGATCTCCTTTACATCGGCTCAAATGACGGCATCACTACCTGGTTCGAAGGGGAGCTGCAGCGAGATCTCACGCTCACAGTTTCATCTACCGTCACTCAGTACCTCGGCCTCAACATCCGGGAAGAGGAGGACGCGATCTACCTCAGCGCCGAGAAATATGCCGACACCATCGCCAAACGCTTTACGCTCACACCAACAGCCATCTCCACGCCATACCGCTACACGGCAGGGAACGACAAAGGAAGCTCCGCTCTACTCAAGCCCGCCGGCATACGAGACTACCAGAAAAAGCTGGGATGTCTTCTCTTCGCAGCCGTCACCTGTCGCCCCGACCTCTCATACTCCGCAAGCCAGCTCGCCACCTACCTCAAGAAGCCTGAAGCAGAACATCTGGCGGAGCTCGACCGCGCTCTTCACTACTTCGTCAGCACCCCAACGATCGGCCTAACTTACTACAAGAACGCAACCACACCGACTAAGTTAATCGGCTACGTCGACGCTGATCACGCTGGCGACTCCGACAATAGGCGCTCCCGCACCGGCTACATCTACCGCCTCGAACCTATCGGACCTATCTCTTGGCAGTCGAGCAAGCAGGAATTAATTGCCCTCTCGTCAGCTGAAGCAGAATATATTGCACTCTGCTCAGCCACCAAGGAAGGACTCTATCTTCGCGAGCTGCTGGAAGAAGCGAAGTTAGCCGAGTTACCCAACTTTACCCTGTTCTGCGACAACCAGTCAGCAATTCGCATCGCCAACAAGAACGGCTTCGCAAACAGGACGAAACACATCGCCCTGCGATATTTCTTCGTGAAGGATGAGATCGAGAAGGGAAGGCTCGAGCTGTCATACTGTCCCACGTCTGAGATGGCAGCTGACTACCTGACCAAGAAGCTCGGAAAGCAGAAGTTCGAATACTGCATGATGCTGACTGGACAGAGCCACGTCAGCGACACTCCAGAAGCGAAGGGGAGTGTTGGAAACAACTGATTTAGGCGCCTCTGTCGTGTCGAAACACCAAGACAGAAGCGAAGTAGCTCGTATCGAAATATCGGTGAGACAACCCTCGGAGGTTGAATAACTGTTGGAGGTTACGCGAAAGTCAAAGGTCAGCGACCTTTGACCTGACAAATGCAGCGCGACAGCAAGGACAACCAACTGTCTCGATACTGAGCAGTTGCCCGAGTCGACACTGTATCGAACCGCAACAGCAACAGTAAAACAGTTAACTGTATCTCTTCATATTCCTTTGTATTCTTATAAAAGCTTGTATCTCTTTTATTATCATAAACTTACTTTGCCCTCACATACTAGTGCAAGGTGGTTCACAACTCTTTAATTAACGCTTCCGCTACTACACCAACTCTACCCAGAGTTCACCCCTGCAAAGATCCTAAAGAGTTTTTTTCAGCCTAACACAATCTACTACCTACTAAGATTACCGCCATCAAGAACCAAGAGTTTCACATAAACATCAAGATCATCTACCGCCCAGAGATCATGAATTGCAATCAGGGCTGATTTTATCAGGGTAATTACCCTGATTTCAGGGTGATTACAGGCTTCTCAACTGCTGGGCCCTGCAATTTCAGTTTTTTTAACTTGTGAACTCTGATCCAATCAGAAAAGTTACTTATCGAGCCCTGAAATCTTATAACTAGTCTCAGAGTAGTGTACTTGCGGACTATGTCTATGCAGAGTATGCGTTCGGTGGACCCTGAATGCGAGGGTATCGGGACGAAGGTTCCTCGAAGTTTCCTTTTGATAACCCCCCCCCCTGTGCGTAATCATTACTTCGCGTGGCCCCATGTGAGGTACCCCGTTCACGCACTGGACTGACGTAATAACGACACCGAATTCCAACACCGTGCTGTAAAGACAGCTGTCAACAGTGACAACGCACCCAAATCTATGATACGTTGCTGCCACGCGCACCTCGCAGTGCACAGCATGCCTCTGCCATTCGCCAGAACGGCATGTTGACAGTATGCGCTGGCAGCTAAGCAGTCCTTGAATGAATTCGGCCTTGCATCTACGGCCGAATTCATTGACGAATGTTGCCATCAATCTTGTGGCATCGCGCCGCGGTGGTTTCGTGATGACCCCGCCATCTCCAACCTTCCTTTCCTTCCCCCTACCCAGAGCCAGGCTTCCTTCGCTTCCCGCTTTTCGTTCAGTATCACACTTTCCTCTCGCTCCATCTTTCCCCTAGCTCGCCGCCATGGAGGCCCTGCCGGCCGACGAAGATGCTCCTCAGACTGGCCCTGACGAGCCACCTTTACCGGCGAAACCGACAGCGCAAGCCTTGCCGGAGAAAGCATCAGATGATCCCCGGTCTGGGCTCGATTTTCTTAGAGCTACCGGTGCTCCGGTGACAGCAGAACCTCCTAGGTCTACGGTTCATGACTCTGCTGCTAGAGTAACCCCTACTCCTTCTGATTCTCCACATCCTGTCGCCTTCACTCTACCCCCGGCTGTTGCTTCTTGCAGCAAAGATCCCCCACCGCCATCGCCTAGCCCCACTCCAAGCACGGTGCGTGTGTCTGTTGGCCCGCCGTCGGCTTCTTCCACTCCCAAGCGAGCGCGAAATGGGAAGTGGGCGCAGAGTACTCTGGTCGTCGGAGGCCGCCGTATTCCACCGCCTGACAATGACAAAGAAGCTGAGCAACCGGAGGAAGTTGACATCCCTGTGCGCACGGATACCGGCTCGCCCGCACTCACCAAGATGCAGCTGCGAGATCAGGTGTACCTTGAGGCGAGTATTAACTACGAGACGAAGTGGTCGCAACACTTTTCCTGGCTGGTGTTTGGGAAGACCAAGGACGGTTTTCCATACGTGAAGTGCTCCATCTGCATGTCGTACGCGAAGGGGAACAAGAGGTACGCCATGCAAGGTGACGACGGTGGCCGTGACTTGCAGACGCAGTCGTTCAGGGCGCACGAGCATACGGACGCACACAAGGCAGCGGTGGATCGGCAGTTGAAGCTTGCGGCGGGCATCCGCGAGGGCCAGCAGGCGATTTTTGACTTCATCAACTCCGACGTCGAGGGGCGGCGCGCGATTCGTCTCATGCGGTCTACGCAGTTCCTGTGCCAGTGCGACGCCCCGATTAGCATGTTTCCGAAGCTGATGCGGCATCTTGCGGAGCAGGACACACCAGACATTCCTCGACAATCTTACGGCGTGTATCTGACACGGTATTTAAGCGTTAGATTGCAGCTGGACATATGTGACGTGTGGTTTTTTTATCACGATCCTGACCATTTTATTCTCCTCTGTGCAGATACGGGTTCCAACAAATGGTTCACAGCATCAGTACATACCTCACTCGGGTCCAGATGGACCACATCCTGGCATCCCCCTTCCTGGGCATTCAGTGCGACGAGAGCACAGATCGAACGCGAGGGAAACACATGATTGTGTACCTAACGTTTTTGAAGAATCGCCAAATCGCATGCGAGTTCTTTACATTGCTGACGGTTGAGCGGTGTGATGCAGGGTCTCTGTTCGAGGTGCTTCTGAACCATCTCCGCTCCGCAGCCGTCGATGTGTCCAAGATCGTCGGCATCAGCACGGATGGGGCGTCGGTCATGACTGGGAAAGAAAACGGATTGGTGGCGCGTCTTCGGGAACACGTTCCGCACCTGTTTTCATGCCACTGCATCGCCCACCGGTGTGTATCAAGTTTCCTAGTTGGTGTGGTTTTCTACGTATAAGATTAACCAATTACCTCTTGATTTGTATTCCCTGCATCCTACAGTGAGGCGTTGGCTGTGAAGGACGCCGCTGAGTCAAACGAGGACCTTGGCATGGTTGACAAGGTGGTGCGCACAGTGGCGACGCTTCTCGGAAACTCAAGCGTGTGGAGTCAGCGCTTCAAGTACCTTCAGCGAGTGATCTACCAGACAAACCTCGAGGTCCAAGGAATCCACACGGTTTGATGGCTGTCACGAGGTGATGCGGTGCGAAGGCTGTGCAAGGTCCTCGGCGCTTGCATCGTGCTGCTCTGGGAGCACAACCACAAGGCCTACGAGATTGTGACGTACTACAAGTTCCAGTTCTGTTTGTTTTTCCTGGCCGACATTCTGGCCGACATGAACGACCTCAACCGCTGCTTCCAGAGGCGTGAGGTGAGATTGAATGCTAGTATAATGTTGAGATGGGAAGTGTAATCCTACACTTTTGCTAATCCTACTCCCTGTTGTTGATTGCATGTGTGACAGCTGGATGTGACTGAGATTTCGAAGACTATTGAGTCCACCACGGGTGACCTGACGGAGCGCTACTTGACGACAAACAAACCGTTCGGGGGCGAGGGGAAGAGCTGGCTGGTAAACTTCCTCAAGGTCCACAAGGAGGGTGGAGGCAAGCAGGTCCGGGTTCGAGGCGTGGACGGAGAGGGACGCCCAATCAACCACCTCTACACCATGCATGAGAGGAAGCTGAAGGGCCACAAGGAGGGAAGCACCTACGCAGACTGCGTGAAGCTGTGCCGCCAATTTTCCCGCGACTGCGTGGACAACCTGAACGAACGGCTGGATGACCTTGGGAAGCTGGGCCCGACGAAGCTGTTCCGGGCGGGGAAGTGGCCGAAGATCAAGGCCCAGCGAGAGAAGAAGTGCAAGGAGTGGCTGCACGGATGCAGCAGGCTCTTCCGCCACAAGCTGCCGGGATTCGACCTCAAAGCAGCAGAGAGGGAGCTCCCGACATTCTGCGCGATCATGGAGTCACACCATGAGATGGAGAGCTTCGCCCAGGGCCTTAACAACTTTCTTGGGAGCGTAGACGCAAAGAGGTAGGCCACTGCATGCTTACGAGTTTTTTACCTATTTGATTTTTATGTTGGTGATTATTAACATGTTGAATTCCAACTTGTTGATTTATTAAGTTGATACTTTTACATGTTTTGTTGTGCTTCGAATGTGCCTGGCAGGAGATGGCCCAACCTCATCCTGCTGTGGCAGGCGCTGGCTGTGCTTCCCCTCTCCACCGTGGAGTGCGAGAGGGGGTTCTCCAGGCAGAACATCATCAAGTCCTGGGTGCGTGGAGCGCTCTGCAACGCGCGTCTGGGGGAGCTGATGCATATATCGCTCCTGAAGTACGAGATCGAATGGCCGGAGGCACTGGAGGTATGGAGGTCCATGCGGAGGAGGCGCCCTGTGAAGAGCCTGAAGCTGGCCGTGGCAGAGAGGGAGAGGAAGGGGAAGCAGAAGGAGGGTGAAGCTGTGGCTGCTGGAACTGCGGGGGAGAACGAGGACGAGGAGGAGGAGGAGGAGGAGGAGGACGATGAAGTGGAACAGGACTTGGCCGACGATCAGGAGGTCGTGGAAGAGGAGGACAACCCTTGCCTGTCAGACGATGAGGACGTAGAGGAGGTGTACTTCATTGACAAACCCGTGCACTAGATAGTGTAGGAAAGTTGAAGTTGTTGTATCAGTCATTTTGAAGTGTAGTGCAATGTTAATAGCAACCCTGATTTTGAGCTGTGAACCCTGACGGATCAGACTAGGACTTTGTTCGACACTGAGCTATCAGGGTAGCTTCCCTGTGAAAAATGTGCGATCATAATTGAGGGGGAAATTTTTTCCGGGAATCAGGGAGGCCTAAAACGAAACGTCAGCCCTGATTGCAATACGGTGCTATCTACTCATCATCGTCCCCTGCATGCCATTCTTCAACCTCTTCTCCGTCAAAGCGGCCGGGACGCCACCAGTCATCATCATCGCTGCACTCCCCCGCCTCCTAGCCGTCTGCAGGCCCAACCCCCTCCTCGTCTTCCGCCTCCGCCTCCGCCTCTGCGGCGTCATCCTCCTCTTCCACCTGTAGCTCCTCGGCCGGCATGGGGACTTCAGCGTAGAAGGGGTTGACGACAGTCTCGTCGTCAACCATCTCGTTGACGTCGTCCAGCACCTCCACCTCACCCTTGTCCCGTGTGGGCAAGGATGAGGTGGTCTTTGGTGCCGTCGATGCTGGTGGAGATCCCGCATGTGACGAACGCCTTCTTCACGAGCTCTTCTGGAACAGCTTCCCAGGATTCGTCGATCCAGCGGAGAACCGTCTCCGCAGGCGGCTTTTGCAGATTGCCTGTGGTAAGGGAAGAAGTTTACATTCACGATTGAGGACTTGCAAACCGAGCCATAGTTGGGACATATGCATGCACAATAGCCAGCCTCGCGGAAATGCAAGTTGAGGCATCAACCCACCTGCACGCGTTGTCAGGTTGATGCCGTCTTCTTCGAACCACGTGCTGTAACGGTGACGCACACCGCATTTAAACGCGCGGTTGATCGATACATCCAACGGCTGCACAAGCGGTGTGCACCCCCCTGGGATGACCGCCCTCGACAGCCTGAACATGCGCATCGGCTGACCAACAGCTTCGGTCAAGTGGCCGCGGTATGAGTCCAGCACCACCAAGGCCTCCCTTCGGCGTCCGGTAGTCTCTCGCAGAGGCTTCATAAACGGCACAAGCACCTGCGTGATCCAGTCCTGCACAAGAGACTCATCCATCCATCCCTTCTCTTGTGCACGGACCACCACACCTGTCGAAAACAACGCGAGCGTCAGAGTCCCGCGGGTTTGATAGAGAAGCAGGCAATAGCATGGGTTGAGGCGTGGTTTGGTTCACTTACCGGCAGGAATGGCCACTTTCGGGACGGTCTTCCGCTTGAACACAACGTAGGGGGGAAGCTTCAGCCCTCCCGCCGTTACTGCCAGCATAACAGTAACGCGTTCCTTCTGGTAGCCCGCAGACCGCACGTGTACCGTCCGCGCTCCCTTCATTTCGATTGTACGTTCCGCCGGCATCTCTAGGAAAAGCGGAGTCTGATCGGCGTTCACGATCAGATCGAGTGGGTAGTCATGCAGAGTGCGCATCTGGCGCACAAACTCCCAAAACGACTCGACTTTCTCCTTGCAATCTGCATTCAGAACCACGGTGCACATTAGAACATGTTCGAAGATGAACCATGACCGCACTTCAACGCGAAGACTTACCCGCTGCCAACTTCTGCCCCATCTTAGTCTTCACCCTCCTTGCCAAGTGCCACCGTGCGCGGAAACGAGCCGACCAGCGGAACGACGCGCGCCAATTGACCCCAGGCATCCGATGCTTCATATACTTCGCGCTCCACTTCTGGAGCATGTTGACAGAAACGGAGAGCCCCTTTGCCCGGTGGCTCAGGAACTGGCGGTAGACCGCCCGTTCCATAAACGGGTACTTCGCCTTGCGTCCTGCCCCCATGAGGCGACGGCGGCATCCGGAAGCGACCTCCAGTCGTTCCCTCATCTTTTTCCAGTCACGAATCTGGCATGGTTGCACCTTTGCGAGCTTGGCAAGAGCTCGATTCGACAGGTCCGGCTGAAATTCTTGCATCTTCAGCCAGTGAAGCTTCTCTTTCGCGGTGTACGAGTGGCGAACGCGTTTCGTCATACGATGCCGCGGGGAAGGAGGCTCTGCATCCGCGTTGCGCTTCACTTGTCCCTGCGGGCGATTACGTTGCGGAAAAGTGGGGACAGCCACTCGGGGAAGAGGAGGCCGAGGACGGTCTGCGTTACTGCTCGGTTCATCCTCGGTAGAGCCACTGGCTGCAGGAGACGACTGAGGCATGTAGGGGCGAGGAGTCGGGCGTGCGCGTGCAGCAGCGGGAGACGGAGTGTAAACAGGCCGGTGCCGTCTAACTACCGTACTGCTGGAATCTGGAGAGGTTGCCATCTAAACCTACTGCAGGTTGGTGTCACTGGCCATAGCTAAACTGCGTTTAAACTAACGAAGTAGCGACAGGGAAAGAAGCGCACTTATAGCCTGCCGAGCACAACACAGATTCGAGCAATGGAGCCGCTGCATAAACGAAAGATGAGAGTCGTTTGAGGGAGAGGGACGTGACCAAAACGGGCACGACGTGACCGAAACAATGACAACGCAGCACAGTGAAGAATTCCAGCCTCGGAAGGCCCATGCAACCTCGCCGCGCGATGCTAGCACTATTTTCACCCAATCAGGGCCAGAGGTGGCCCATTGGGACTTGCCATGTGGCAGGTTATAGTGGGGGGTTGCATTTGTTGGGTTGAGAAGGCCCTTAGGATCTTTGCAGGACAGAATTCGAGAGTAGGATGATGTAGTAGCGGAAGCGTTTAATTAAAGGATTGTGAACCACCTTGCGCTTGTGTGTGAGGGCAAAGTAAGTTGATAATAACAAAAGAGATACAAGCTTTTATAAGAATACAGAGGAATATGAAGAGATACAGTTAATAACTGTTTTACTGTTGCTGTTGCGGTTCGATACAGTGTCGACTCGGGCAACTGCTCAGTATCGAGACAGTTGTTTGTCCTTGCTGTCGCGCTGTATTTGTCAGGTCAAAGGTCGCTGACCTTTGACTTTCGCGTAACCTCCAGCAGTTGTTCAACCTCCGAGGGTTGACTCACCGATGTTTCGATACGATATGCTTCGCTTCTGTCTTGGTGTTTCGACACGACAGAGGCGCTTAAATCAGTTGTTTCCAACACTCCCCTTCGCTTCTGGAGTGTCGCTGCAGGTGACGTGGCTCTGTCCAGTCAGCAGCATGCAATATTCAAACTTCGACTTTCCGAGCTTCTTGGTCAAGTAATCAGCTGCCATCTCGGATGTGGGGCAGTAAGACAACTCAAGTCTTCCCTTCTCGATCTCGTCCTTTACGAAGAAGTATCGCAGGGCGATATGTTTCGTCCTGTTCGCGAATCCATTTTTGTTGGCGATGCGAATTGCCGACTGGTTGTCGCAAAATAGGGAGAAGCTGGGTAACTGGGCCAGCTTCGCTTCCTCCAGGAGTTCGCGAAGATACAATCCTTCCTTGGTGGCTGAGCAGAGTGCGATATATTCAGCTTCAGCTGAGGAGAGGGCGATTAATTCCTGTTTGCTCGACTGCTACGAAATAGGTCCGATAGGCTCGAGACGGTAGATGTAGCCTGTGCGCGAGCGCCTGTTGTTAGAATCTCCGGCGTGGTCGGCGTCGACGTAGCCGATTAGCTTGGGCGTTGTAGTTATGTTTTTGTAGTAGATCAGGCCGATCGTCGGAGTGCTTACGAGGTAGTGTAGAGCGCGATCGAGCTCCTTCATGTGTTCGTCTTCAGGCCTTTTGAGGTAGGTGGCGAGTTGGCTTGCCGAGTATGATAGGTCTGGACGACAGGTGACGGCCGCGAAGAGAAGGCATCCCAGCTTTCTCTGGTAGTTGCGTATGCCGGCGGGTTTCAGTAGAGCGGATTCTGTCTTGTCATTTCCTGCCGTGTAGCGGTATGGCGTAGAGATGGTAGTTGGCGTGAGTGCGAACCGTTTGGCGATGGTGTCAGCATATTTTGCGGCGTTGAGATAGATCGCGCCTTCTTCTTCTTGGATGTTAAGACCGAGGTACTGCGTGACGGTAGATGAAACCGTGAGCGTAAGATCTCTCTGTAACTCCCCTTCAAACCAGGTAGTGACACTGTCGGTTGACCCGATGTAAAGTAGATCGTCTACGTAGACGATTAGTAGAATGTAGTCCTTGCCTTTCGTAAGCCGGTACATTCCTTGGTCGTGCGGTAGCTGCCGGAATCCGATGCGGGTGAGTCGAGCGTGTAAGTACTGCTGCCACAGTCTCGGGGCCTGTTTGATCCCGTACAAAGACTTCAGTAGCTGGCAGACTTGATTGGGTTCTCCATGGGAACCGTGTGGAAGTTCGACGAAGATTTCTGCGTCGACAGGTGCGTAGAGAAAAGCATTGGCAACGTCGATTTGCCGCAGCTTCTTTTTCTTCATAGCGGCGACCGCGAGAAGAATCCGTAGTGAAGTGTGTCTGCTGACCGGAGCGAATGTCTCGGTGAAGTCACGTCCATGCTCTTGATCGAAGCCGCGTACGACCCAGCGTGCCTTGAATTTGTCGATGGTGCCATCTGCTTTCGTCTTCACACGGAAGACCCACTTCCCGGTGAGTATTGTCTTGTTTCGTGCCACGCCGATAGGAACAACTTTCCAGGTGTTGCGCTCCTGTAATGCTTTCAGTTCCTTGTCCATGGCTTCACGCCATTTTTATTTATGCTCCCCCCCCAGAGCCTGCTGAACTGTTGCAGGCTCCTTAGGAGTATCGGTGCCGTGGACCGCGGTGACGAGACCAAGTATCTGAAGGCCACTCTGTGTGTAGCGGGGGAGTGTTGTGTCCGCGGGATAAGCTGCTTCGTCGCCAGCTTCTGGGTCAGGTATGAAATTGGGCCCTATGCGTTCTGCTTCGTTGGTGTTGACTTCTGCAGGTGTAACGTTGGCGTTGACGCTGTCGCGAGGATTTTCGTCATCCATCGGGATAGGCACGGAGCAGTAAGGGAGTGGTCCTGCTTCTTCCGAGGCGTTATCCACGTTCTGCTCGTCCCAGTCAGCTTCGTCTGCTGCCGAGGCGAAGT